CGGGGGCCGGAGCCGGAGCCGGAGCCGGAGCCGGAGCCAGAGCCGGAGCCGGAGCCGGAGCCGGAGCCAGAGCCAGAGTCTGAGGCGGAGACCCAACCTGTTGCGGACGACACTGAAGCAGAGGTTTTGGAGGGGAGTGATGACGCTCATGTCGAGGAAAGTCTGGAGGCCGCTACGGCTGCGAGCGAGACAGCAGAGGCTGCGAGCGAGGCCGTGTCCCGAGAGCCAGAAAGTCTGTCAGAGCCGCATCCCGAGACCGAGCGGGAGTTCCAGGAGGGGGACGAAGACGAAGACGAGGATGAAGACGAGGACGAGGACGAGGATGAGGAACCCGCCGGGCGGGAGAAGCAGGACAAGGTGAAGAAGGTGAAGAGCAAGGAGTCACGGTTCCGGCCCTCCCTGCCACTGACCACGATCGTCGAGGAGGCGGCTGCTCCAGCCCCACAGGCTGAGAAAGAGAAAGCAAAGGAGTCAGAGCAGAAGCGAGGTAGCGAGGAGATCCGGGCGACAGGTCGAGAACAACACAAGAAAAGCAAAGAGGATGAGGACATGGAAGAGGAAGACAATGAGGACTTCGAAGACTTTGAGTGGTCTGCAGATGTTCGGAAGCTGCAAGAGGAGCAGCTGCGCGGTGAGCTAGTGAACCAGTACCACACCCTGCTGTTGGAGCGGAACCGGTACCAGCGCTACAATATGTACCTACAGCAGAAGATCTCCGAGACGCTACGAAAGAAGGGCCTGGAAGCAGCTGAACCTGTGGACAAGAGTGCGGAACCAGATTCTCCCGAGAAAGAGCAAGCATACTTGCGTTATCTGGCCATGCTGGAGGAACTGAAAAAACAAGAGGCGGACGACCTACAGTGGTACCGTCAGGAGGTGCGTGAGATGAAGCATCAGTGCCAGGAGAAGCAGGCCAGGGTGGAGAAAGAGTGGCGGCGCTTCCAGGCCCTCAAGAAGCAGGTGGTGATGCAGGTAATGGGCAGCTGCCGCATGCGCGGTGGACGCCAAGCGGCTCTGAGAGAGGTGGAACAGATCCAGGCGCTGGAGGATAAAAAAGAGAAGGAGATGAGCGCATTGCGTCTCGAGAACGTGCAGCTGAAGCAGAGCCTGGTACACTTTGAAACTAGGATGAAGGCCCAGGAAGATTTGGCTGAGGGGCTGCTCCTCATCGACTTTGAACAGCTCAAAATTGAGAACCAGACCTTCAACGAGAAAGTCGAGGAACGAAATGAGGAACTTCTAAAACTGCGCAATAAGGTGACCAGCAACGTGCAGATTATAACCCACGTGAAGGAAAAGCTGTCTTTCATAGACATGGAGAACTCATGCAAAAAGGCACAACTTTTGGAAATTGAAGCCCAGGTGGCTCTGGGAAGAGATCTATTGACAAAGACGAAGCAAACCCGAGACAGCTTGCGAATTGACAACATCAAACTGAATCAGAAAAGTGGGCTTCTGGGTAAGGAATCACTCCTCCGAGACTTAGAAGAAAAGGTGGATAAGACAGAATTTCTCAACAAGCGCCTGGAATCCCTGAAGCGCCATCATGCAGGGCTCACCTTGTCCTGCAAAGGGGTGAAGCAAAAGATCAGGGAGGCCAAAATGTTCCTCCCCTCTTGACAGTCGTTGACAGGACAGCTGGCAAAACCTCCAAAACTCTAGAAACTTTGTCCCCCACTCTCTTCTGCCCTCCCATTTTCATTCTATATGACTTGGGATGCAACTTTTTTTTGTCATTTCCAGCTTCCAAATTCCTCCTGAACACATCAGTTAGTAGTAGTTCTACATGAGGTTAAGTAAAATATATGGAGAGAGAGAAAGAGAGAGAGAGAGAGAGAGAGAGAGAGAGAGAGAGAGAGAGAGAGAGAAGAGAGAGAAGAGAGAGAGAGAGGCGAGGAGAGGAGAGGAGAGGAGAGGAGAGGTGGTTAAACCGACTAATGATGAAAAGCCTTCCTAGCCAAGCAGTCCCATAGTCTAGAAGAGTGTTAGAACTGTTCCTTGTTTAACCAGTAGCCAAAGTACAGAAAATCCCTGTGCATTGGTCTGATCACTCAGTCATCTTTGTACTAATTAAATTGTATAATCTTGAATCACTGTCTCAATTAGCTCCCAAATTCTCTTCATCTCTCTTCATCTCATCTGTGGGTGTTTGTGGGCATGTGGAGGCCAGAACATACCAGTATTTCTTGCTCTTCACCTTGATTTTTTGAGACAGGGTCTCTTACTCAACCAGGATCTTGCAGTTTGGTTTAGACTGCCCAGCTGGCATGACAATCTTAGGATCTGCCTGTCTCTGTTGCCCAACACAGGGGTTATTGAAATGCAAGGCCAAGTCTGGCTTTTTATATGGGTGCTGGGGATTTGAATTCAGATTCTCATGCTTTCAAACAAACACTCTTTCTTACCTTCTGAGCCATAACCTGCATCAGCAATCTGGCTGTTGGCACTACATAACCCTACTTCCTTTAGATGACACAATTTTGTTTGCTAAAGTATATTGGCTTTGAAGTCAATGAAAGTTAAAATCCCTTTTCTGACTTCCATGGCTAGAACACACTTTACATAAGACCATTCAAATGCATAACTGAGAATAGCTCAAAAATTGATTTCTCCCATCTACTTCCTCCCCTTAGTTGCTGCAATTTTGATTTTCCCTCTACCCTGTCCATCAAGACTGTAGCAAAGCAGTAAATTGCTGCAACTGGAAATGTCGTCTTAGTGACTCCAACAGCAGAGGGCCCCAGGCAGGATTCTGTAGTTGGGGATGCTCCCAAGTGAAACTGGCATTAGTACTAGAAGTGACAAGAATGTTTTTCATTGTAATGGTGTCCTTCAGTGTTTTGATTCATTCAGCTGATTTCTCCCCATCAGCTACTGAATGCTCCCTCGTGAACCTTGAACAAAGTGAGCAGTGGGTCATGCAGGGCACTAAAGTTAGCATGCCCTAAGTTGCAAATGTGTCCTATTATATAGTAAGTCACCAGTAGGTCCTCAATCACAGCACCTCATGCTGGAGGGATTACAACTAATTACAAGACACCCTTCATTTTTGATTACTTCCCATGTGGTTCTAATTAGATTCATGATGAGTGCTTGATCATGAAATTTCATCAAGTAGTTAAGGGCCTGTAAATGTAGACACTGAACACATTCTGCCTGATATTTTAAGTGTACATGCATGAAAAGTGTCCCTTTCAATAGCAAAGGAAGGCTGTAACATAGCCACCTACTCAGGGACAGCCTAAAGAATTGGACTTGCTACAATCTAGATTATGTAAGTAGAAATAGGTTTGTGTAAGTTCATCTGCAGATAAAAATTTAAGATTTTGACACTGGTATTCGCTACCTGTCCATAAAATAGCAGAGTCAGTGCCTTCCAGCTAAGTACTGCTTATGTATTTAACCTCAGAAAGTTCCAGAGTGCAAGTGACACGGATACTATGAAAGGAAAGCACCTTGGAGCACATGAGCTGTGCAGTGACCAGTCCATGTCCCTTCAAAATATCCTTATTTAAATAATGACAAAATATGTGCACATTTTAATAAAATTGCACTAATTATATTTGGTTTTGTTTTGTTTTTCAAGGGAGGGTTTCTCTGTGTAGCCCTGGCTCTTCTGGAACTAGTTCTGTAGACCAGGTTGACCTCAAACTCAGAGATCTGTCTGTGTCTGCCTCTGCCTCCCAAGTGGTGGGAATAAAGGCATGCACCACCAGCACTGCCCCTGCTCAATAAAATTATACTCCCTAATTTTTAAAAAACTTTAGATAGGGTCTCACTATATAGGCCAACTGATCCCAAATACTAGTATTACCAATTTCAACTTTAACATTTTGTTCAAATACTGTCAAGAAGGAATTAGGTATACCTAAAAGATATGGGAATGCCCAAACTATGATGCTGCTGACTTAAATGTCTGAGACTCACTGTACTGATTCACAAAATGTAAAAGCATTTGAAAAAAAAGGGTGCCTTTCTTTGGATGATAAAATTAAAAGGAATCCTGGGGGAAGGGAGGCTTTGTTGGTTGATTTAAGGAGAGCAGTACATCATTCCAGAATGAGCTACCAGTGGGCAGTTGCTGGCAGTGCTGACAGAAGAGATACATACATACTATGTAATGGCCATGTCCCATGTAATTCAGCAAGCCTGAATAACATCAAATATTTCATACATATTTAGGCACTTCCAGGTTTTGATGAGGTCCCTTTAAGAACTGGTCTTAGGCTCTAAGGCTGCCCTCTGCTGGGCAGGCCCTTGCTCGCTCTTGTCCACCTGAAAGCTTTGCTCAAGGTTCAGCTATGTCACCTTCCTCCTGCTGCTAGACATGAGCACAACAGTTCCCTCTTCAGACAGGCTCATGATGGGCAGGGTTTCTTAACTGCTGGCCCACATTGAAGGCATCCAGCAATGCACACTAGAAGTATTGAAAGGAATGAGAAATCTACGCCACAACCAGCCCTGTGTTTGGGTTCCAAAAGGTCCAAACCAAGCATGATCTCTCCAAAAGGCATGCAGGAGCCATCACTTCTCTAAGAGGTAGTATGGATACCAGCTCTGTATCTGCTGCAGGAGCTGAAGCAAGCATTTGTATCATATTCTTGGAATGGGAACAAGGAGTCTTTTACATGGGACTGCTATAGAAATAAATAATCCATGTAGAATATTTGGTCCAGAGTCTGGTGTGGCTGGAGCAGGCAGCCAGCCCTCAGCAATCCCAGAGTCTATCACCTCACCTCACTGCCTGCAAACAATAGTGGCTCAGAGAATGAAGCCATTGGTTTAGAGGGGAAGGCAAGCACTGCATCTGTTCCTGCTGGAGACTGTAACACATTGGGCAATCTCCCAGCAGTCTTGGGCAGCTTGGAGGTGATAGCAGTGGGGGACTGAAAGAGTGACCTATACAAGCATTTGTCCTGTCTGGTTCCAAGTAGCTTATGGACCTCACTACATACACAGCCACTTTCCTAAAGTGGCTCACAGGAAGGAACTCGCCCCCCCTGTGCCCCCAGGTTTACAGGCTCTGGAAAAGCTCCAGAGTGTGAAGAGCCTTGGCTCAGCAGCTAGCACAGAGTAAACAAATGTGGTTGTCTGCTCTCATGGGATCTCAGACTTACAGTGGGGGAGGTCAAGGCAACAGACTTCAGGGAGTACAGCACAGCTGGGATCCCCAGCAACTTGAAGAGGACATCTGAACTCTGGTATTCCCTGAGGAAAGTAACTGCCTTGCTTTGTGTCTACCAAGTCCTGAGTTAAAATACTTTCTGCTACACTTCAAAGCAAGAATGTCAGCTTTAAACCAAAGTACACAATGAACATAAGTAACAATTTTACATGACTTTATTTTAATAAAACCACATATTTACAATTCAAAAAGTCCTAGTTTGATACACTTTACTAAATAAAATTAAAGGTTAACTGTACAAGCAATTAAAACATGATATGTAGCAAGTGTTATCAGGAGTTTCCTATTGGCAAACTGTTTAAAAATAGTCACAAACTGAACAGTTAGAAGTACCTTTGAAGTGAGCACTGCTCCCAAGGTGACAGGAAGCCTCTCCTGCAAGCTCCCTTTAGAGTGAGAGCTGCCCAGCACCCTCAAGTTTGGGACTGAAAGTCAACAGCAAGTGAGGTGGGAGGTGCAGACTTCTGCAGGGTCTGTTTCCAGTTTGCCCAAACAGGAAAGAGTATGAGAGATGCCCTCAGAGTAGACGAACTTGGAACTATATAGCCTCTAAGGAGGGCACATCAGGCTCACACAAACAGACTATGAAAACCCTGTTTGGAGATCAGTCAGTGCTTGGCTGGCATGGAGTCTTGTTTGAGAACTTCATGCAAGCTCACAGATTTATGTCAAACAAGAAAAGTTAAGAGCTGGGTTGTGAACACACAGAGAATTCCACAATGGCATTCACAACAAGGTGCCCAAGTCCCCTTGTCACAACACATTCTGTATGACTTAAGGAATGTCTTTATGTACAGTAAGAAAATATATACATCTTGAGAGAACAGATGCCCATGTCATGGAAAAAAACTAAGTACATCTGCAAGGAATGACAGCAGACAGGGTTGGGTAGTCCGCTTCTTACAGGCCAGCTGGGCCTGGGCTACATTCAGGAACTGATGTCAAGAATGGCTGGATCTGGAGGCCACTGGATGACTGGTGAAGACATCCTCCTCCAAGAGGTCAGACATCAGCCTTTCACACTAAGGCAGAGAGCTATATGGAGGGTGCTCTGTAGCCTCCCTGGAAAAGCTGTGGGACTACAAATGAGACTCCAGGAAAAAAAGAAAAGTGGTAGCATGGTGAATGGCATGAATATGACAGCCTGCTGATGCACTGGACTATCACAAACAAGCACAGCAGATGAAGGAAACCCATGCAAACATATTGTCATCAGGCTGACCCAAGTCTCCCTGTAACATGTCAGTTGAGGGCTTCCCAATGGCTGTCAGAAACTAGAACAATGGAGAGGATGATTTCTGGGGGTAGCAGGTTTGGTTGCAGAGGGCTGTGAAGATCACACAGGCATTTGCTGGAAAATGTTCTCAACCCTGGCCTACCTGTACCCCCAGAAATAAGGATGCCAGTGGATTATCAGGAGGTAATTTCCACAGCTACTGGACGCCCTTTGTATTATTCTATGCAAAAATTACTCATTTCTGTGAATTTGGACAATCAAATTACTTATACAAAGTTCTCAAGTCAAAGAAAAGGTACAACAATAAGAACCTCACTAATGAGCTGAGAGAAATCAGCTGGAATGGAGAAGGGCCGATGACACTAAGAATCTGGAAGACTGCCTTACTCGTTGCTCCTCACAGCAGTGTGTGAAGCTTATTTTATAAAAACAGATGGAGACAGGAGAGAATCACTGGCACTTAGAAGAGGTCCAGCTACTCAGGTGACAAAGGCAAAAAGGGACTCAGTTAAAACAAGGAAACCATTGCCCAAAGAAATGGTGTTTTCAGAGGCTTCCATGCCCAGCTGCTCAGAAACAAGCAGGTAAGAGAGGAGTAAATTTTGCAGTCTCTTCCTACCCCTTTCTTTACAAGGCCCATCTCTATCCCTTCCCAGCATGTGGTTCCCCTGCTCCAACAACCATGACTCCAAAATGCAGTGAGTGCTACTTTGGAGAGTGGGATCCTAATGTGAATCAGTCTTCCTGCTATCATGTGTCAAGGCAACTGAGTCAAATGTCAACACAAAGTCAGGAGAATTTTTAGGAGCCTATGAACATTCACCAGCAACTACCCTACCCTAAGGGTCCATCTTTCTTACACTTTTCCTTGGTAGGGAGATTTAAAACATACCCTTCATCTCGGAAAAAAATTATCTCAGTAACTAAATAAGTAATTCCTTTCTTATCCAACATATGAACCAATAACATCTCTGAGGTCTCCTAATAATATTTCTCATGCATCTTGGCTAAGAAAGATTGTAATGTACCTTCCAGTAGTTGGCATAATAGCATCATAATTTAATTAACTGCTGCTGGAATAAAGGAGCAAGGAGACAGCCTGCCCTTTCTTGAGCCCATGTGGAAAATGCAGTGGCTAGCCATGACCAATGCCAGTGCATAGGTTCACTGAGCTGCTTAAGGCTAAGCCTGGATGTAATTCTTTAAGAGCTGTTTTGTTTTAAGGCCAACTTCAGCATTAGAAATCCAACATGGAAAGAGCCCCTGTTCTTCCCAGGCTTTAGTCTGAAAGCACACAGGTGCCATGTGGAGCTCTGCTTCAATGCCAAGTAGGAGTTACCCCTGAGCCTCAGTGTCTGAGTGAAGGGCTTCCTTTTTCCATATCCCGGCTGTCTTTCTGCAGCGCAGACAGCACCTAGAATCACAGAGAAGACAGTTATGGTTAGATCCACAAGCCACGCTGACCTGAGAATCTCACAAAAACAGTAGAAAAACAGCAATCATCTAACACTCCTACGCCACCCCCCTACATGCCTGTTCTCTGGGTGGCTGGCTAGCCCCTGAACACAGCACTGAAGCCCAGGTTTCCCCGAAGGGCACTAACAAGTTGCCTTCCTCCATGTTGCTGATATAGCTGATCCTTTTCATCAGGAAGTTGGCCAGACAGAGGTGTGATGTGGCTTTTCCTTGGTAGGGAGATTTAAAACATACCCTTCATCTCGGAAAAAAATTATCTCAGTAACATTCTCTCCTGTGCTCTCCCAGCTCCTGGTTGACACTTTAAGGAGCACCCCACCTTTAGGCAGTAGTGATAACCAAAGGCTACATTCCCGAACACTCACTGCACGCCAAGCAGAGCACTCTATGAAGCCAGGCTGTCATCCTCTTCAACCTACCTTTCCATGTGGATTCAAAAGCCACTATAAGCAATAGGCTAGAAGATTACAAAAATCTTCACACAGGCCCCACCCAGCTTTCAAAGGGACTCTCCTTAGCTTCAGGCTCATCTTGAAATTCTCAGTAACTTTAGAGCCAGGGCCATGTTTCTATTCATACTTTTCTTTCTCCTCTGTCCCTGGATCCCTGATGATAGCACAGTCAGTTCTGCTCTCATGTAAACTGAGTATACTTTTTTAATTGCTTTGTTGAACTATAATACATAGGCAATTCACCCACATAAAGCATGCAAATCAACCTCACCAAAAGCCAACTTTAAAGCATTTTCATCACCTCAAGAAATGCCTCAGGCTGTTGATACAGCTCAGTGGGTAAAAGTACTTGCCATCAAGCCCAAAGATCTGCACTCAATACTGGGACTCACATAGTGGGAGAAGAGAACCAATTTCCAAGAGTTGTCTGCTGACCTATATACTCTCATTGTGGCACATGCACTGCCCCTCTCTCATACACACAGAAAACAATAAATGTAAAAAAAAAAAAAAGTTAGGGAAGAGGTGACCTTTCTGGTGGAGTCCTACAGAGATGACCTAGAAGTGCTGACAATACAGAATTGGGGGGGGGGGTCCTTCCTACACATATTCCTCCAGCTGTCAGAAACCCAGACATGAGCCAGGCCATGTACCTTCAGACTGAACACCATTTCCAAAGACAGCCCTCTTTTTAAAAGGCTCATTAGGTGGCGCATTGCTTCAGTCTCACAGCTGTGCCACATACCCACTTACCTGTGCCCATTTCTTGTTCCGGCTCTGCATCTGGACTGTGGAGATGGCTGCAAACACCTCATCTGCTGGCAGGTCCTCAGGCAGTCTTGTCAGAAATTGGGCACTGTGGATGAAGTCCATCCTCGTCAGGATATCCTCAAATAGCTTCAGGATGCCCAGAGCTGTTCGGAAGAGAAATTCCTCCCCATCTCGACAGAACA